GGGGCGGGAAGAATCGCATGATGCATTGTTCTGTTTATTTTCCGACACTCAGCTCCGCAGTGCTGGGCTCCATCTGAGAGGGGAGACGGAAGTCACCGTGTGAGAACTTGCATCTTCCCAAGCTGTTTCTACTTAAGTCACTTAAGTTGTTCAGAGTGGCACAAGCGGTTAAAAAACAGCAGCGCTGTTGTCTACACAAAGAATAACTTTCTTTGTCCCTGGTTGCTGTGGACGCACTTCTTGCAACATCCTTTCCTGGCTGAGTATACCTTCATGATGGCTATCCAGCCCACATCCAGGATGAAGCTTAAAACCAAAAAACCCACCCAACTACAAAACCAACCACACAACCGTCCCTGCTAAGCCCCAGTTGAAGTCTGCACGAGATGGTTCTCGGCGTCCTTCAGCGCAGATGAAATGGCAGCCGTCAAGACGCTTGGTCTGTGCCAGGCTGCCTCGGGCTCAGGCAGCGCCGACTGCTGAAAGACAACTGAAGCCCAGGGGAAAGGGCATCCTCAAACTATTCTGTTAAGGGACACGACGGCCAAGGTGGGTGACCTTGTGCTGGGTTCACAGGCAGAAAGCATCCTCCAGCCCCCTTCAAAGCAGCTCGCCTTGAGACAAACCTGGGAAATGCAAAGCAGGGAGGGCTGTAAATGGTTTCCACGATGTGTTGGTCTGAAACAGACTTGGTGTGCCTTACAAACAGATCAGGGCTGTAGAAAGAGCACAGAGCCACAGGTGGTTACATGGTTATTTCTTACACAGTCTCATGGCGTTATTAGGCCACTGGAGAGATCATCCCAAAGCCTCACTTGGGCAGTCGGTTTCCTCCTGGATCATTTGTTTCGTCTGTGCCTGGGATCCATAGCAGGCTTTTAAAACACATAAGGATTTTTCTGATGAAAAAAATCCCCGAAACCCAGTGCTTCTCGGGGCATCTGAGGACTGTAGCCTGGGGGACAGGAAAAGGAGGAACCTCTTCCCCCAGGTTCACTCTGTAGCCAGTAGAGAGAGGTCAGCGCTCTGGGATCACCTTGCTGCTGCAGCTACATGGGTAGGAGTGGATAACTGACCCAGCTGGAGAAGACCCTTTTTTGCTAGGTTAATTCTCCAACAGATAATTTTCCAACCCAGGCCACAGTGCGGCTGATACCTAAGGACGTTTGATCTGTTACTAACTGACAGTAGGCACCTAACCGGGATCTCCTTTTAGACCCACCTGTCCAGAATGTAATTTTAAGTGCTAGATGATGTGATAATAATTGGCAAGGCATAGAAAATTACCGGGCACTCAAAGGCTGAAGCAAATGCAAACAGCTCTGCTGCTGTAGCATTTTATGCACTGTTTGAACTGCCAGCATCAGCTAGCTGTTTTGTTGGCACCTATGTCCAAATGAAGGCAAAACAAGTAATCCAGCTATGGAATACAGGTAAAGTGTTAGTCTTGCCCCGTGCATCGAGCATCCTGTGTCTGGCCTTCTGGATGCTGGGAAAGGTAGGGACCCTCATGAGTGGAGTCAGCCCAAGAGAATACACACATTCTTAAAAACTGGTGGGTGGCTGCTGCACTACTTGGAATTGGCTTTTCCAACCTACCTTCACACAACAGAGCAGTCTTGTAGGTGACACAGGTGGGGCAGAACAGGCTCAGCCACCAAAATACATCAAAATGACATTGGACAAGAGTTCAGCTAAACTGAGATTGCAGAGACTTGCAATTGCTGAAGCTCAGCAAAAGGCATACACCCTCCTGGAACTCTGCCAGAGAGTGAGTTTGAGCCCCATGGCGACAGGAAAATTTCACAGCATGATGGAAACTACGCAGAAACAAGTACGTACAAGCCTTGGTGGAGACTGAAAATAAAGGCAGTTGGGAGAAATGGAGCCAGCGTCCATGCAAGGCATGCCTTCTCTCAGCACATGCGGATTGCCTGCTCTCTCGGCCACTCTCAACACCATCAAACATGAGACATGAAACTGACTCTGTCGCTCAGCCAAGGTGTAAATGAAGGAGGGGTAGTTTGCCTCACTTTGCCTTTTCAGGTCCTGGTCTGAGCAGGCACTCAAGAGCGTGGGCACAGCCCCACAGTCTCTGCTACTGGGAAACTTGCTCAGCTCTAAGCACAGGGTGTGTGCCCAGCAGGGAGCACACCCACATTTAAAGCTGCATTACAATACTTAACTCGAAAAGAAGTGAAGATTTGACTCAGCGGAACACAGGATAAAATCGCCTGGCTAACAGTTCGCCAAAGGTGCCTTCCTTTGGAACCACTGGGACACAAGTAACACGAACCTGGAGAGCACCATTTGCAGACACACTTCACAGAAGAGGTGCAACATAAAACATCCGGAATGGGTTTTGACTACTCATTAAACTGCATGAGAAGTACAACAAAAATTACAATCTCTGCATTAAAGAACAGCAAAAATCCTATTTATGCAAAAACTCAATTTGGGAGCAGGGAGCTGACAAATGATCAGTTTTAAACCAGTAAACAAACAAATCCTCTCATAGAACACAAGAGTTAACAACTGTCACATCAAAGCAAAAACACTGGCAGTAGAACTGGGAGCTGATCAAGAACTAGTGGCGAGTGGAGAGCTGAATTTGCTCTTGCTTGCCCAGATGTAGTTTCCAGTTAAATATGTACCAGTTACACCTACCAAGACTGAAAGGCAAATCTGAAGTATTACGACTCTGATTCTGCTAAACTTAAACATATGTAAATATCCTCTCAGTAGCCCCACTGAAATTATTAAAATTATTCCGGTCAGTCTCAGATCACTGGTCATTAATAACACAGTCAATGTTTCCAAAGCTTACCATCGTTTGTTATTTATCAGTCTCATCTATCATTCTGCAGGTGTAACAGTGTTTTGGTCAATTGAACTACAGCCAGACATGATGTTAGCAGGTAGCACTAAAAGTTTTATTCCAGTTTCACTTCCACTGAATCTGAATTTGAGGCGGTTGATACCAGAAGTCAGCAAATATCTTTGGGAGCTTGCTTTCACACTGTCAAGCTACCTGAATTAACATGAATCAAAATTCAACTTTGTTTCAACTGGTGCCGCCTTAACGATGCCAATCGGCCAAGCTCTCCCATTCTGCTGAAAAAGAGGATCAATTCAAATTAATCGCTATGAGGAAAATTAGGCCAACGTACCTGCTCTAGCTTATCTTT